CTGGACTGGGAACCAGCTGCATCGCATCACCTGGGCACTTAGCAGAAACGCATAATCTCAGGCCCCGCCCCAGACCTAATGAGTCAGAATCTGCATTTTAACCAGATCTCCAGGTGAGCTGATGACAGCCTGAGAAGCACTGCATTATAACAAACACAGAGCTCCAACCAAATGCCAGGAGGTGCTCAGAGAGAGAGAGAGGGGTGGTGGTGGCCGCAGTGGCCTGTGAGGGCATCCCGGAAGACCCAGGGACCCTAAAACATGGGAGAGAAGAGCAGATGGGCAGGCAGACAACCCAGCGCTACGGGAGGCAGGCCACCTGCAGCAGCTCACAGCAGCGAACAAATGGGGCAGGGCCGGACAGGGGAGAGGCCCCAGCCTCCTCATGTACAGGCCAGACCAGGACCTGAATCCTTGCAACAGGGAGAACCTAGAGCCCAAGCCTCCCCACAAGGGTCCTAACCGCACGCCCCATGGGGTTTCTGTGCATTATCAGCATCCAGGGACACTTTGGCCGAAGCATACCCTCACCCCATCAGGGGTGAACACTTCCTCATTGCTGGAGAACCCTGCTGCCCCCTGTGCCAGCTGATGGCTCCCCCAGGCAGCTCCCCTTGGAATTCCACTCCGCACCAAGGCCACTGGCCACAGCCTGCAGCTCCTTCCTGCTTGGCGTTCACACTGAACGCAGAAGATGAGTTCCTGGGCAATGGCCCCCAGGCAGGCCCGCCCAAAGAGGGGCCTCGGAACCCCCAGCTCCAGGGCCAGGCGGCCGCCTTCTTCCTCCTCAGCACCTCCTACCGGAACAGTCCTTCCCATGGTTGAAAGGGAGAGAGACAGGTGTGGGACTAAGGGAACAGGAAAGAAACTAGTCCCCAGGTGGAGGACCTTTCCTTCAGGCATCTAACTGCCCGTTTTCACGTCCGTCCTGCTGGAGGGCCCCAGGAAGGCCAGCTGTAGGGGGCTAGCACCCGCCCCAGGCCAGGACTTCCTGCTGGCATGGCCTAGAGTGGGGCTCAACAACCTAGATGGTCTTCAACTCAGGGGCTCCACAGACCCCAGAGATTGAGTGTCATATTGTGTGTCTGGATTGTACATGCATCTACCTGGATACTCTATGATTTCCAGCAGGTTCTCAGTTAGGTCTCTGATTCAGGTTCAAAAACACTGGCCTGAGCCAAGGACAGAGGCCCACTGGTTCGCCCAGGACTGGCGGAAGAAAGCGATGCATGCCAGCATGGTGTGGCTCACAACAGCATCACTGTCTCCAACAGCACCCTGGAACGTCTCACCTCCACAGGTAACTACACTTGTACTATTTGTGTCTAACATGGCGACAGGACCCCATTTGTCTCGGTGGGAAAACTGAGGCTCAGAGAAGGCTCACATCCCAAGCAGGGCCCCATAGCAGACAGGGCTGAGGAGGTGATGTGAGTTGGGCAATGGCAGTGCCTGGGGCCAGGTACTAGCGCAGGAAGTCAGTTTTAGGTCACCCCTGGGACCTACCAGGCCCCTGGCCCAGTTTCCATGATTTTGGAGCCCAGCTGTCTCTGCCTCAAGAATAGGGCCCTTTAGGACCCTTCCTTCTCTTCTCTGCCCTTCCCTACCTCAGTCTCAGAAGACTCAGGCTAGGAAAGGGAAGGGGCCAAGCTTGCTGACCTCCACTCTCAGGCCAACCTAGAGTCTGGAGCCCAGGAGCAGCCCCAGAGCTGACATCCCACATGGACACTTCCCCGCCAGCCCCATGTCCACGCACCCAGCCCCCAGACACATAGCCGTACACACACCCAGGCCGACAGCCCCCACTCGACACTCTGCGCCTGATGCTTGAAAGCCTGACCAGCTTCTGGGAACAAGACGAGGTCCATCTTCAGTTGGGGTGCCCACTCCTTTCCGCTCTCTTTTTCTCCACTTGGGAAAACAGGATCACGCAGATACTATGTTTCACTTGTTCTGGGTTCCCACTGCCAAGCCCGGCTTCCAGGGCATGGCTTATGTGGAAAGAAGGACCCACCCAGGACCCAACAGCCCAACCAGCGGTGGTGGGAGCCTGGGGACAATGCCCTGAGGGGCTGTGCATCCTGGCCTCTTCCTTTACCAAACCTTAAATACAAGTTTCAAAAGGTACGTGGGGAGAGGGAGGGGGAGGACAGGCGAGCCCACAAAGCCAGGAGGAGCCACGGGGGTAGCCGGGGCTTGGTGTGTGTCCGGGGGGACGAGGAGAAGCAGAGGCGGCCAAGAGAAGCCTATCGTTGGACATGGCCACCATGTAGATCCCTCAGAGCACAGCCCATTCCAGCCCTTGGGAAAGACACCCAACCTCCCTTCCCCAGGGACAGGAGATGTCCAAAGCAGCCCACGACAGCAAGCTCTGAACTCCAAACCACAAACTCAATCTATCATGGTTTGCTGGTGATTCTTTATTAAACCAATTCTGTTGGATCAATGCTTCCTGCCCGTCAAAATGATGAATAAATCCTCCCTGGCCTGAGCAATGGTTGCAGAAGCTCGTGTAAAGCCAGAGCTGGGCAGTGGGATTGGTTCCATATAGAGGCCCAAGGTCAGCGGCTGAAACTTGAGGGACTGAGGTTTGGGGTGCTGGGTGGCGGGAAGTGGGTGAGGCCGGTTGAGTGGTGGGGCTTTTAAGCTTAAAAGACTTAGTCAGGCCCTTGCCTCTTGGGTCTTCTGCAAATGAGACCAGCTATTCTGGCCTCAAGGCCGGACAGGCATGGCCACTACCTCTCCAGACACTCACAAGATGGTCTTTCTTGGGTTCCTTTTTTCACACCCCACCCAGCACCAGAAGGCTACCAGGTTGTGCACAGAGGATGTGTGTTTCCAGCTACCAGTCCCTGTTGCTTGTTGCACAAACCCGAATTCAAAGCCCAGTCTGACCTTTATCCTGTTGCCCATTCATCCTGCCTGCTGCATCCATCCCTCCCTATCTCCACCACCCTCCCCCTCCACCATGTCCCGGGCAGCCTGCAGTTACTGGGAGATTCTGCAGCAGGGGGACTGCAGACAGACAAGCCAAGATGGGCAGAGGAAGCTCAGGAAGGCGGGGAGGTTCCCACTGATGGAATCAACCCAGTCCTAGCTGTTCACCACCAGGGTAAGACAAGACAGGGAAGGCATTGCCCAGTGCCTCAAAGGTGCTCCACCAACGCCTATTGTGGATGGAGGCCAGGTATGTCTGGGGTTGGCCCCTTGCAGACCCCAAACCCCAGGCTGGTGATGAGAACTCTGAACAGAGGCTTTCAGACAACAAAGACAGCGGGGAGCTGAGCAAGGGAAGGGAGGGCCCCCCAACAAAATCAAGTGGTGGATATTGGCACAGCCTACCTGCCACCCCCACCAGGGAGTTGGGAGGGAGGAGGAGAAACCCAGGACACCCAGAGGGTTGCAGGAGACACAGTTCCTGGCCACTCCTCTCTAGCTCAGGCTAGGGTCATCAGGTCCCAGGACTGAACAGAGGGGAGGCCACACATTAGGAACCTGGCACCAGGAACCAGGACAGTTCCTGATGGGAGGGTCCCACGTTTGCTCACAAAATGTGGAGATGATGGCTGTGTTTTTAGCCTGTCCTCTGGCCTCCCAGACCCCCTGAGAATGAGAACCCTGGACATAAGGGTTAGGAAGAGCAGTCCCTAAAAAAAAAAAGAAAGAAAGAAGAAAGAAAAAAGAAAGAAAGAAAGAAAGAAAGAGAGAAAGTAAGAGAGAGAGAGAAAAGGGACAGCCTTCTCTGTTCATCACCTATTTTAAGCCATCGAGTGTTGCCTGACTGGTCATTCCCAGCACGAGAAATCTCTCTCATTGGATGGAAAACGGCTTTGCTCTCATTACAAATCTAGCTTCCCTGGAGTTTGCAAAAAGGGCTCTGGGTTGACAAAATACTCATTTATATTGGCAGACAAGCAGGGTAGGCAGGAAAGGGAGCTAAATGGGGGGGGCAGGGCCCAGAGTGACAGAACAAGTTAAACCCAGCTCAAAGGGGTGACTATTTTTCAGACACTCACTTCAAACCTGTATGTGAGGAAAGCCTAGGGGAGCACTGAGGGACCCCAAGACCTTGACTGAGACAGGGGTACCGCTGATCCCAACTTCAGAGGCAATCATGGATGTCTCTTTGCAGACACCTCCACAGGCCCTGAGTGGTGTCTGCTGTGCACTGGCATCTGACTCAGGTGATGGGGGAGGGGTCCCTTGCTCTGGGGGCCCCCAACTGACCTGTGAGAGACCTAACAGCTGCTGGAACTTGGGCCACTGGGGTGAGGAGGTACACTAGATGAGCTTGGGGTCACAGGACAGCTGCCATCAGTCAGGGCACCAGGCATCTTCACTGACCACTGTGAGCAAGGTCATCCTGTCCTGCTAGTCTGGACGCCAGCTGCCCAGGATGTCCACACCTGGCCTACCACTTGGCATGAGGAGCTGGGCCAGGGTTAAGGTGGGTGCAGAGGGCTTTTATCCTGGGCCTGAGGCCCCAGTCACCTCAGTGCTCCAGGCGCCCAGCTCTCTCTGCCCAGCTGCAGCCTCCCAGAAGGCAGCTATTAACAGCTGGGGTCAGCTCCCAAGGGGCTGGCCCAGCTGCCAAGAGGTCTGTCTCCCTTTGTGGCCCTGCTCTAGAGAGAGGCTGAATGACCTGGAGCTGCCTCTAGGATGGACACCCTGACTCTGCAACCCAGAAGGTGGGCTGTGTGGCTCGAGGTGGCAGACAGGGCTTACCCTGCCTGCCAGCAGGGCTAGGCCAGCCTCAAAACACCTTTTCCACCGGCCTCTAACGCGGCCCAGACCCCAAGAGGACAAGACCCAGAGCCGGAACACAGAGGAAAGTTCCCTGCACAGTGCAGGAGGAGGCCTGGGGGTGTCGCAGACCCTAGAGGCGCCCCGTTTCTCTCAGAGCTCTCAGCGTGAAGAGGGAAAGTTAACTCCGGCTCAGAGGCAGAGCCGAGAAAGGCAGCATGCCTGCGACCGCTCGGGATCACCGCCGGCCCCCTTACCTGAAGTCGCTGTAGGGGTGGATAATCCAAAATCCGGCCGACTTGACCCTCTCCTGCTCGCGCTCCACGGCTTTCTGGCTGCCGAACATCCTCAGGGAGAATTTGTTGACCCCGGGCTGGAGCATGGCCCCGAACTGGCGCTGCATGAAACCGGCCTGGCCCAGGCGCACCTCGGCCTCGGGGAGGATCTGGTCGCCGGCGGCCGCGCCTCCCTCCACTTTGATAGCTGTGTCCACCGAGGGCTGCTCGCAGGAGGCGGAGGCCGACTGCGCGGACTGCTGGGGCGGCGGCGGCGAGGCTGCGGGCTGCGCCGAGGCGTAGGGGCGCTCGGGCTCGCCTGCCAGGCCCAGGGGCGTCCTGTCCTCGCCGGGGGACGCGTCGCCCTCGGCAATGAGCCGCCGCTCCTCCGCGGAGTCATGCAGGTGCCCGTGACTGCTGCCGCCCCCCGCTCCGCCGCCGCTCCGGCTGCCCAGCGAGGCCAGGCTCCCGCGGAAGCGCCTGCAGTCGCCGTTCGTGCTGGACTTGCCCGCGCCGCGGGCGGGCCCCTCGCCGTCCCCCGCCCCGAGGGCCGCGCACCGGGACTCCGTGCCGCCCGCGGCCGCCGAGGGCGAGGGCGAGGGCAGCGGCCGCAGCCTGATGCTCCTGCGGCTGGGGTCCTGGCGGCCCCCGGCCCCCTCCTCTTCGGCGTCCTCTTCCTCGTCCATGATCCACGCCTTGGCCCCCACCTGCTGCGGAAGGCTGTAGAGCCGCTTGCGCATAGACGGCGGCAGCTTGTCCATGGTGCTAGGGGCGGGGGCCGGGACCGGGGCAGGGGCACGGGTGCGGCGCCGCGGACCGGCCCCAGGTCCGCCAGCCGGTCCGTCCGCCCGCGGGGACGCGTCCTTCGCAGCCGGCGCCGGGCCGCCTCAGGCGCCCATGCTCCGGCAGGCTGCGTGCCGCGCGGGGAGGCTCCCAGTCCCGCTCCGGGTGCCCAGGCTTGCCGCACGGCGCCTCCTCCCGAGCCAAGCTGGGCGCGGGGACCCCGCGCTCCCTCCCTTTCTCTCTTCCTCCCTCCTGCGTTCAGGGGCGCGGCGCGCGGCTGGGCTCCAGGCGCCCCGCCCCCGCGGGGAACAATGGGCGCGGGGAGAAGCGGTGCTTGGGCCGCGGCGCCGGGAGAACTGCTCTGGAGCGCAGAGCGCACAGCCCCGCGCGCCTCCCGGGCGTGCGTCCCGCGGGCAGTCGGGCTGTCAGTCTGTCCCGCCGCCCTGGCTTTGTGGCCAACCACTCTCGAGCTCTCCTCGCCTCCTTTGGCCGAGGCCGGCCGGCCCGTCCCGGGGCTCCCGCCGCAACCGAACGGAGCCCAGCGGCCCGCCGGGCTTACATCAGTGGCCGCCTCCCCCAGAGCGCCCTCCGGCAGCGCTCAGCTCCCGCGCCCCGGAATATTCATGAAGCCGCCGCAGCTCACGGGTTGCCATAGGAGCGGCTCCCGCAGCCGGGCCTGCCTACCTGGGATTCTTAAAGGGGCAGCGACGTGGGCTGGGGGCCGGGAGGGTGGCCTGGGGGGGCGGGGAGGCGCGCCCCGTGAGGGGCTATGGGCACACCCTCGCCGGACCTTAGGGATTGGGGTGAGAGGAGCTCTTAATCCTAAACCCTCAAATATCTTTCATTGGCCAAGGGCTGGAAGCGCGCCCCAAGTCTAAGGTTCCGGTTTAGGTTGCCAATTCCTCACCCCAAGATCGGAGGGCGGGGTTTCCCGATCTCCCCTCCGAGCCCTGGGCTCGCCTTTCTCTGGAGGTTTTGCTTTCAGCTAGGTCTTGGACCCTCCTCCAGGGAGGCGGGCGGGTGGTCCGGATGCGGAGCCCAGGGCCTTCCCGCAACGCGCCTGGAGAGGGGGTTTCCGGGAAATGCGCTGCGTCGGAACTGCTCCTGGGGTTTTCCTGTGAAACGAGTGGGGGGCGATTCCCCACGCAGGTCTTTCCCCTGCAGAGACTCGCAGCGACTGGGCAAGGAGGGCGAAAGGTGGGGGAAACTCCGGACTCACAGGGCGTGCAGGTGAGACCCAGCCCTTCGAGGTAAGTCTTCGAGGAAATATGCCTGCAGCAGCCACGGCAGCGGAGTCCGATCGCGTACGCACCTCTCCCGGGGTGGTTCCGACGCGAGGTTCCGAGACTAGCCGGCTGCAGCGGGAAGCCAGCGGGTCGGCTCCTCTGGCGACCGGGCACTCTGGGGCTAGCTGTGGACCTCCTTCTCCCTGGGTTCTCATCGAGGTTGTGACACCCCTATGTGGACCCACTAGGAGAGTGCCTGCTCCACGCAGGCCCCCTACCCTAGAAGCTGCACAGCTCCACTCCGTTTGAGTCGGCTCTCCACCCCCAGGCCAGCCGGTGATCCAGCTGTGTGTCCTCCCTCTCCGAGTGCAGTCTCCAGCCTTATGGACGACGAATCCTACCAGCTCAGCCAGAGATATTATACAGCTCTACTCCTCTCCAACACCCTGAGACAGCCTGACACCTCCCACCCACACAGGCCGGGCTGCCAGATCTCCTCTCCCTGGCCTGGGGGCCGTCAAAATGGCCCAGACGTTATTCAGATCCTCTCAGGGAAACATCCCAGATTAGCTCAGAAATGCGGATGGAGTATTAGAGGGAAGGGGTTGGCCAGGGAAGGTTGGATTTGGATTAGTGCTGAGTGGAACCCCAGCGAAGCCTGACAGGAGGGAGACAGTACGGTCCCTTAGCTCTGACATCTCTCTGAAGAATAACAAAGTTTTTCTTCAACGGATTTTTTATTCTCGTTTTTTTTTAGCCCACTTGTGAGCACATCCCCCACCCCATTCAGAGGAGAAAATCTGGAAGCAAGATGGAGGGGGATTAGGTAGCCTGGCAAGGGCTTTTCTGCTTTACCGGCTGGACCACAGGACCTCCCATGGGGGAGGGAAGGACTAGGGTGATGACATCACTGCTAGCTGGCATCTCTACTTTTGAGCAGCTCTGAGCTGACAGTTCTCTGCACAGATGCTGGGAGGCCTAATCCTTGAATGTCCTTGGGTCTCCTTGAGAAGGAGTGTTCTTAACTGGCTGTGAGCCCTGCCTGCCCTGGTGTGCCAGCCACAGGGGGAGGACTTCCATTTAAGTCACTTCCATGGGCTTCTGTGTCCAGCGGGGGGGCTAGCCTTTTCTATCCCAGCTTCAGGATGTCAGCCTCAACAGGCTTCCCAGTGACCCACGGCATAGGCATCCCCATCTCGAGGAACCCTTCCCTGGCCACTCAAATCTTGGCCATGTCCCATCTTTTGGCCCCCATGTCCTGTGCGCTCCCATCAGCCCGAGCACTGAATACACAGTGCAGTCTGTGTGCCCTTCAGGACTGAGCTCCCCGAGGGTAGGACAGGTCCAACTCATCTCAGGGACCTCGGAACTAACACGAGGGTGGACAGAGAGCAGATCAATATATGTCAACTCTATGCATGAGTGAGGGACTGCAGAAGCTAGCTAATGCCATTGAAGGGGATCCTTGAAGTAGATGGAGGATATGACCAAGGCTCTGCTTCCTGGGATTATGCAGCTACAGGCTGACCGGGGGTCTAGACCCTTTAACTCCCACCTCTAGTATCTCACCTGCCCTCATTTGGTTAGCCCCACCCATTCAGGACCATCGAGGACCACCTTGGGTGCAGAAATGACCACTAGATAAAGTAGGCATGATATAAACCCCAATGAGGCCTGGCCTCTCCTTGTCTCCTCTGTGTGAAAACCCTAGTTGATTTTCACTGTGGCATGCCAGTGGTCTGGGGGGACAGAGAAGGAGGAGACCCAGTTGTTGCCCTGATGGGCTCCAGATTGTGGGGAATCTAGACTTATCTATACTCAGAAAAGAGGGGAAAACTCAGAGGGAAAAGAAGTGGATATGAAATCATGCCTCGACCTATGAGAGATTTGAGAAAGGGGACCTCACTGAGCTTGGGGCAACTAGGGAGGACTTCCTGGAAGAAGAGGTCATATTGGGTGAGAGACAGGCATCCAGCACTTCAGTTGTTAAACTACATGAAATTTCGTGGGCCAAATACTGTCACATTTTTACAATTTCTCATGACTCAAACCTAACATTCTTACTCCCATTTGCAAGCAAGAGAACCAAAGCACAGACAGCAAAAAAATGGTGGAGCTGGAACTCCAACCACCGGCTCCCTATGTCAGGTTCTCCTCTGCTGCCCAGCTGACTCACCCAGGTGGGGTGGGGGCAGGCACAGGTGAGGGAGGGAGAGGTGGCTGTGAATCTGGCATGGCTGAAGCAGACAGAAGATAGAGAATGGAGCCCCTCCCCCTCGGTCTCAGCTCTCCTCATTGCCCCACCGGGGTCTCATACCCTCTCCTGGAGTCTGCTCTGATGCGTCTGGTAACACACTCGACAGGACCTAGGGACTCCAGCAAGGGGAAGGCCCTGCCTCTGGACTGAGGTAGAAAGGAGAGCTGTGGCTCTCACCTTCTGTGGGGAACTGAGTACCTCCAGGAGACAGATGTGCCTCCTGCAGGGCTGCCGGGGGAGATGGGGTGCTGTGTGTTCCTGGAATGCAAACCCAGAAAAGATCTGGGTCTAGGAGTCTAAGAGAAAAGGACTGGGGAGGATGGGCTTCCTTCCCTGGAAGGGATACGGAATGGAATGTCAGTGAGATTCAGAAGACCTGCCGGGAGTGGGTGGGGATGTGGCTGATTATTATATACCAACCTCAGGCCTTATTTGGTGGAGACCTGGATGGGCAGAGGGGAGAGGTAGCAAATTCTGGAAGTTTATTTGCTTGTAGGCTGAGGGCATTGTTCTTGCTTAAAGGGGCAGCTCTGGGGTAGGGCAGTGGCTTCCACACCATGTAATGCCAGTTCTGCTTGAAATTTAATGAAAGAAAGGAAGGGAGGAAGGAAGAGAGAGAGAAAGGAAGAAAGGAGGAAGGAAGGATATTTTAGGGTAAGGTTGCCAACTGTCCTTTCTTAGAAGGTTGTCTTTATTCTAACGTTGTAGCCTTGCTGCATTTTCTGTGTTAAAATGCCCTTTTATGAAATCATAGTGCTAGGAGATGGTATTTTTTAGGTCCTTGGCTAAGTAAAAAAGTTGGCATAGGGTTTTGTGTTTTGTTCCCAAAAATCATTTTGAAATGTTATTGGTCTGTGAATTCCAAAAGTCTGGGAGCCCCTGCTGTAAACACTAGAGCATGAGACAGGCAAACAAAAGCTGTGGAACTGAATACTTCTCTGCCGTTTACTGCCTGTGTATGCCTCAGTCTTCCTCAGGTGTAAAATGCATTCATTGATATGTACCTAATAAGTTATTATGAAGGCTAAATGAAAGAAAATGAATGCGCCGAGCTTGGCATCTCATTTGTATTAAGTTCTCAATAAACAATGAATGATGGAAGATTGAATGAAAACTGCATTAGCCAATGGAGGGGGAGACACTTGGAATCTGATTTAGGTCATATATGGGTTTTAAAAATTGCTGTTGGGACCAAAGGAATGTCTTGCTATATAGGATTGCCTTCTGTAAATTCTCCACCCTTGATAAGCCCTGGCTCAGTCTCCAGAAGGCAGAATTTCTCCTGTCTGGGATGGGCACTTGCGTAAGCAGGATCCGAGGGAATTGACTCAGAGGTCACCCCCCTTGACCCTGTGTTCAGACCCCCACCATACACAGGTGCAACTGCATCTTTCTCTTTAATGTAGGTATGGTCCTCCCAGGGCACCCTCTGTTCTGCTCTGAGGCAGGTGTGCTCTGTGGAGTCCTGACCTGGGGACCAGGCACCCGAGAAGGAACATTGGAAGCTGCTCTGTTCCCTCAGGTTTCTTGTCCCAAGGTGCCCTGATGGAGAAACTGGAGCGGGAGGGAAGGGGCACACAAGGAGAAAACTCTACTGGATATAGAGGTATGGAGAGAACAGATCAACCACCTAGTGTAGACCAAGCCTTTGGGTGCCCTTCCCTGAGCACAGTCACACATGGATAAAGGCTGGGAAGGCAGAGAGATGCCCGAGTTTGGGCAGTTCCTTCTCGGATTGATGCAGCAAAAGACCATCCCAGAGGTTTGGAACCAAGGGTAAGAGTAAGTGGTTCCAAAGCTGAGAGCAATGGTATTCCTGAGTATGGTCAAGGTGGGCTTCCTGGAGGAGCTGGAAAGTGAGCTGGGTTTTCTAGGCAGTGTGTGAGTGTGTGTGTGTGTGTGTGTGTGTGTGCAGTGTGTGTGTTTCTTGTGGGGGAAACAGTGAATGAAGCAGCCTGGCAGGGGTGAGGTCTGCTTTATTCTCTCAGTGGAGTAAATGAAGCATTGCCAGAGGATAGGGCTAGGGTAAGGGTCCACCTTAGGGGCCCACAAAGCTGTTACCCTAAGCTGGCCCTAGGAGAAAGTCTGCTGTCCCCATGAAAGGAGAGTATTGGATCCTTCTGATCTCCTTCTCCAAACATCCTCACCCCCAGACTGGCTGCAAAAACCACTGTGAGCCTACATACCCACTCTCCCCCAATGGCAGGGTACCAGTGAAAGAAAGCTGTTTCTGGTTGGGCTTGCCACCTGCTTTTTTCTCAGATCTGCCTGGTTTCTTTAGGATTTGCAAGTGTGAACGATTGTATTGTCCTTTCTGCATCCCCTGCCTCTATGCAGGACCCCACCTGTGAGCGCCTGGAGCCCAGCGGAGCCCAAAGCCCTTTCATCTCCCGCCAGCCCTGCTCCCATCGCGCTTGATCTCTCCACGGTCCTCACCCTGCACTCCTGGCTGTTCCCTCGGGACGCTGCCAGGGCGATGGCTGGGGCACCGTGCC